CAAACAACACAGTGTCTCTATCTCTCTCTCTTCTTGATTCATTTTTCAATTCATTTCAATTCAAAACTATTTGAATAGCACTTTGTACAACTGGTATTGTCACAAAGTACTTTTACAGAAATCAAGGTCCGAGCCCCACCTAAGCAAGCCAAGAGCGACAATGGCAAGGAAAGACTACTAGAAACAAGAAGAATAAACCTTAAAACCAACAAAGACTCAAAAGGGGGAACCATTCTCTTCTAGCTGACACCAGACAGCAAAATGAGTTATGTAAATGTGAGTGAGGAGATGATAAATGAACACACAAAAAAACCAAGTGAGGCTCATCCAAGGCCAGAAATGTTTTTAGGTTTAGTTCAAATTCTATTTTATTTTATGACACTCACTATCCCCAAAAAATAATAATAACAGAGTACATTTTCACATAAGCTTCAGCCTTTAACCCATTAAAATCCCAGGCTTATTACATACTAAGGCTTATTATTCAGTAATTACAGGGACATCAATGCAAACTGGTTGAGCTATTCTTAGGTTATAGAAGTGTGTAATAAAACTTTGTGCCCTGCCCATTTAAGGGGTTAATTGTCTATTTGCTCGGTTTGTGCCACTCTAAAGTGTGTAATTTGGCTAATTAGCTACCTCGCTTGCCAGTTAACTTCATTTGTTAGCTGCTATAAAACAACATTTATACAGAATCATGGGTAGAATCAAGCAAAGCTCATATTTATTGCTGTTGTGTGTGCAGATAAGATCAATAACACTCGCTCAGGAGGCTAATATAAATGCATTCGTTTCCTAACTAGTGAACTCAAAAATTACTGTTACAAAATAGTAATTTTCAGATTACCAGTGGAAACATCAATATAGCATTCTATTTCAAGTTCTGGTGTACATTACCAACCATATAATAGTGCTTGGTGACTTTATCCTCACCTAAAAAACTGGACTTGTCATTGGCTTCAGCTGCAGTGTTACCAAAGACAGAGGAAAACACTCTTGAGTACCATTATGTCCTGTTGGGACCACGCTTCAGCAGGCATCAAAAACAATAAAACTGGAACTTTCAGTGTTGCACTGATGACCAATGGAAAAAACACAGTTCCAGTTTTCTGGTGGCAAAGGTTCCTGTTCTTTGGGCAGTGGAAAAACATCCTTTGTTGCCACTTTATTATGTGCACCTACCTTATGCCTACTAAAATCCCAGGCTTATTACATACTAAAGCTTATTATTCAGGAACTACAGGAGTTTCAATGCAAACTGGCTAAGCTATTCTTAGGTTAAAGAAGTGTGTAATAAAACTTGGGGCCTGCTGGTGGGCTCTGGCCATTTAAGAGGTTAACTGTGGAAAATATAAGAATATTTCTGAGCACTTTGGAGTGAACAGCCAAAAAGGCAGAGGTATGGTCAAAGGAGAACTGAGAAAGAGATAAAGGAGCATGCACCAGACATCGCTGAAGAGCTTGCACAGCTCACTGAAGTCTTCATCTCCATCTGGGAAGGCAGCAGAGACAGCAGTGTCAGCATGAACTTCTACAAGACCTCAAAGGGATGAACGAGGCCTTGGTCACGTCTTTGTTAGGATGCATGCCAGCGACAGGACTTACACCACACTCACACGAATGGCACTGTCACAGAGAGCTTGGCCACACAACCGCATTTTGCCAACTCCGAAGACACACTTTGTGTGCTCCTCACTAACTGACATAGTTACTACAAGGTCAACAAGCAGACAGGGCCAGTGACTTATGAACTGTACATGCCCAAGAAAAGTAAACAGCATCAGCAATATCAAACTATTGTCGACCTACTGAACCTATTGAAATAGTTCAAGCCACAGCCAGTGCAGCAGCACCTGTTCATTATTTACTTACAATTTGATCATTTTACACAGGTAGGCGAAGGTAGTGTTAGAAGTCTACCCCAAGGACTATTACTGGTATAATGTAGGGTGATTGCCCAGGCAGGGGATCAAACCCCAGTTTGCAGCATGGGAGGCAGTGGTGTTACTCTCTACACTATACCAACCAAACCAACACTGTATCAACAAGGAGGAAGGGGAGGTCTTGAGTCTAGCACAAGATCTGTGTCAAGGAGCACTCTATAGTATCCCAAATTGATCCTCTGGGTTTGGGAGAGAAGGTTGATGTAATGAGGGTAAAGGGGAATTATTGAGCCTTCAACCTGCAAACGGTGCAAAGTTGTACTTGTTTCATTGCAACATTCAATTTTGCATTGGCAAATCAAAGATAAATCTCACCCTTTGACCCAAGCCCTGCAAAGACAGCCTTGGTAAGGGGATGGACTCTGCAAAATATTGTCTTTTGTGATCTGTGCAAGGGATAGTGGCAGGTGCCTTTGGCCTCAGAAACAAGGGATCAGACATCCTTCAAGACACCTTTTGGATTCTATAATTTTGCTGTGATGCCTTGTGGGCTGCACTGGATACCACTGACCTTAGAGGCTAATGGACAAAGTGTTTGCATGCAGTTTATAGCCACATTTATAAATAATATGGCCATGTTTAGTCCTGCAAGGATCATCTGGCCCACATAGGGCAGGTGCTCCAATAGATTTAGTATGCTGACCTCAACTTCAACCCGCAGAAGTGTGTCTTGGCACGTTGCCACATCCAGTAGCGTGTGATTGCTAATAGGGTAATCTGGCCACATGTGGACAAGGTTGATGCAAGTCCATATGTTCAGGTACCACTAGGAGAATGGTAAGATTAGTAGGGTGATACAAGAAGAAAGCAGTTGTCTTGACTGATCTTATGAGGAAGGCGGCACTAGATAGACTGCAAAAGACTAAAGACTGTGACAGGGCCTTCAGGAAACTTCAAAGTTGTTTACATTACAAACAGACGCCACAGGGGCTGGTCAGAGGGGCTATTTTAGACGAGGAAGGTGAGTGAAGACCTGTTGCCTTCATTAGCGGGTAGTTCTCTTCCTGGGAGATGGCATTCTCCACTGTGGAGAAGAAGTAGTTGGCAATGAAATGAGTGGTAAAGTCTTTTCACCTTTCATTATAACTTGTAGGGTTTTGACCTTGTTCAAGAGACAGACCAGCAGGCACGTTGTATAAGAAGAGGGATGGTAATTCTCTTCTTTCAAGGTAGTATCTGTCCTTTGGTCATTCAAGTTCAGTGTTGCAGTTACTCAAAAAATAATCCATTACAAATTACTCAAACTGTAAAGGGATTACTTTATTGATTACTACCTATTACTTTACTTCTACACTACTTTAAAACTGACACAAAGCTGTACCAACTGGAAGGCACAAGGAAAATCCAATAATCCTTTCAATACTTTATTTAGAAAGAAATAGCCAGTACCAGTAGTGACAGAAACTAGTCAGTAAATCAGTGGTCTCCAACCCTAGACCTTTAGTTCCAATTTGTATCCACTATCCCCTTACTTAATGCTATCAAATCTGATCCAGCCAATCAGGCACTTGGGAAGAGGTTGATTAGCTGTAGCAGGTGTGACACATTGTGGTCGGACCTTCCAGGACCAGGGCTGGAGACCACTGCAGTAAATACAGCCCCAAAACAAGCTGCCTTAAAATAAAATCTTTAGGAATAAAATGTTAAGCTTAAAAAGCTGTTCCTGAGTGAACATCAAGTCAGGCCTGTTTAGTTGAGGCTGGGGTGCTCTCTGTTCTTCAGCACAGGTATCTTCATCCATCACTTTTGTATTAGCATAATTAAATGCTTCAACAGATTGCTCGCTGAGTTTATGGCGCTTCCCACGCTGCATTGCTTATATTGGTAGCACACAGGCATGCAAAATTACTTACAAGGACAGACATGGATCATTTATATGGATCGTTCCATTGAACTGCTTCAAAGTCAGGGTCAGTCAGTCAAAACGCAATTCAGACTTTTAACTTATGTGGAATTTAGACTAAATGCTTTTGCTCTGAGTGACCCTATACCTTAATTATGTTTATTTTACTAAAACAAATGATTGAACATTCCATTTTGTCAGTAACAAAACAATCATAACACTACCGAAACTTTAGCAAATGTTTCACTAATGACTGTTCTGGTAGTGACAATTTTAGCTCATTTTGAGCAGAACTCAAAAATGCTAGCCAGTACATGACTAGCAAACACAGCTTTAAACAGCTGCACATACATATAATCATTGTATTTTTCTTTAAAACACAAAAATGTTTACTTAATTGAAGAAAATATTTTGGCCATAATAATTCTTGATGTTCCACACTGATTTTCAGACTTTGGGACACATTTACTTCAAAACAATGGGACCTAACTGCTCACCATGTCAGGGATGCAGTCTCACTTCCTGCTCTAAAACACAGCGGCATGGCTAAAATTAGGCTCCACCTATGGACTAAAACCCTGTGTTTCGGTAATGACATGAAAACGTGAGACAGCATTTTTTTTTAATTAAACAACAACAATACAAAACACTAAGCGTTATTTAAAGGTGAGTTAGGAGATGACTAATGAATATACAAAAATGTGGAGGATGACGGAACTTTTCTGACAGCTAATAAAGCAGAGGTACGGTCACATGAGGATAGAAAATTCTTTGGGACAAATTTACTTCAAAACAGCTCACCATGTAGGCATGAGGGACGCAGTCTCACTTCCTGTTCTAAAATGCAGACGTGTTGCTAAACTAAAGCTCAGCCTATGGACTAAAACTCGGTAGTGACATGAAAACGGAGGACAGATTTTTTTTTTTTTTATTTAAAAAATTTAATTCATGATAAACATAAATCTTTGAACTTTTAACTAAATATATATATATATATATATATATATATATATGGCTATAAGTAAGAAAATTACCTATAAATGATGATTTTGGACATCTTTTGTTATTACTAACTCAATGCCTTGGGTTAAAATAGATTCATTACAGCTCAACTGAACATTACCTCAATATTACTTCATATACATACAGTAGCCTGTGTTCTCCCAGTTCTCCCAGCATCACCCCCCCCGCCACCTTCCCAGCCCAAAACCCACCTCAGTGCCTGTGCCATGCGCCGCAGGTCCTCATTTTGCTGCTTGAGGCGCTCCAGTTTGGTGAGGATTTTGGCCAGCTCTCTGCTGGACCGAGGTGTGTATTCGCTGTCCCGCACCAGGTGGCCCCCGATGTAGAAGAGCAGCGTCCCCCAGGCCAGCAGCACCAGGGCTATCCAGCGCCAGGACCCCGCCCACGGACGCATGCTGATTCTGACCTCGCGCACTCCACCACGGTCACCACAACAGATGCACGGCCATCTCAGGGAAGTTAAGCTGGTCAGAAGCCAGGAAGCACTGATTTATCGTTGTTTTATTTGTACCAGTAGCTGTATTTAAGTATGCATATCAGAACACCAGTGATGTTCAGGCATGGTGATTGGATGCTAAGGTAGCTGGCTGCAGGGTGGTCTGTTTTGCTGCAGTTTCACTTCAGCTCACTCCTGGACATCAGGTTCAGTCCTGAGATGTGTGAGTGGGCTTCTCGATGTTATTAACCTGTGGACATACAAAGAGAGGGACAGTGGAACCATGTGTTAGGTCAGTGCGCTGCAAATACTTGCATGTGGTGCCTGTGATATATGCTTGTGATGTAAATGCACATTTTATTCTATTTGCTAAAGTTCACATATTAAAAAATAAAAACATAGTTTCTTGCACAGGCCACATTTTGTTCTTGATTTTTCCCCAATGTATTAAATTCAAATAAACTGCCAAATATTAAAATGTGCAGAAGTTCACTATAGAAGATGTGTTCACTTATTTTTTAAAACAAAACATGTCATTTGATCAGGGGCGCCCAAATCTTTGCATATGATTGTATGTGGTCACTGAACATCTTGTAAAGCCAGTTTGTTTTTGAATCAAAATGCTGGAGATGTTCTCCTCTGTATCGAGGCGCTTTTTTATTTTATTATCATGGCAAAATGAACATGTTTTTCTTAAGATCTCAAGTTATTTATATCATTATGACAACAAAACACACACACACATTTTCTAAACCGCTTATCCTTCTGGGTAGCTGGGGGTGCTGGAGCCCAGCAGTCATTGGGCAGAAGGCAGGAAGCACCCTAGACAGTCTGCCAGTCCTCACGGGGCAGACACACAGATACATACATTACACCGAGGGGCAATTTAGCATCTCCCTGTGGCCTGGCTGCATGTCTTTGGACTGTGGTAGGAAAACATAGCACCGTGGAGGAAACCCACACGAGGAGAACATGCAAACTCTACACAGAAAGAACCCTCGTCGCCCGGCCGGGGAACCAAACCCAGGCCCTTCACCCAACAACAAAACAAATACTCCTTTATCAAGATGCAAGAATCGGAGAATTTGTTTCTGTAGACTAAGCTGTCCTGCAAAGCACACCAAGCTTACAATTATAACCACAATTACAATTTACACTTACACTTTTACACTTAACTTACAATTATAACAATTATAACCTCCAGATCCTCAGACAGTTATGTGTCAAACCGCAGCCATCAAATCGAATCACATGGACATGAAATTTGAGATTTTGAGATTTGTAGAGATTTACAGATCTGCTACTGCACAACACATGCATTCGATGCATGCTCTCCAGACTTGAGATATATACATCATATTTATCTACTGTAATCACTTCTGGTACAAAAAGTCTGTCCTGATTCATATTAAACTGAGTGTGTCTCTGAACTTTGATGCTTCTGTCATTTGTTCTTAAACACTCCTCGAACGTGAGCACAAACAGGTTCCATGAGGTGAAGGTGGGATCAAAAAGGGACAAAAGAGAAAATACCAACACAAGACAACACTCGTTATGTCATCATAATAGCATAAATATTTCAAGATCTTGAGAAAACAAATGAAAAAATAACTCATGGTCTTGGGAAACTGGAGAAACCGTGGCTCTTTAGGTCTTCTGTGCCTCTGTGTGCTTCTCAGGTTTCCTTTGAGCTATCCAACATTGTGGTCTTTTAGCACAAGTGCCATATATGCTACCTGGCAACTAGAGCTTATAGGTTGATGGACAAAGCAACAGTAACTAAGGGAGGCGGGGCTTGTCACAATTTTGCAGTCAGTTCCTTATACATCTCTCTATGTAGTGAATTAAACATTCAGATCCTGGATTGTGGTTCTGAAATTTGTGTACACAGCACAATATGTTCTCTCTCTCTTTCTCTCTGTCTCTTGCTCTTTCAGGAAAGCCCTGTCTCAGCACTTTCTGACAGGCTGATCAACATGCTGCAATTTCAGTCTGAATGTGACAGCGCTCTCAGAGCGTGCGTGCAGACATCGCCTCTGTACGACGAGCTGTCTGTCCACACGCGGAGCATCTCTACTTCGCTCAGCCTCACTGCTGTCTCAGCACTCGCACACAGACACACTCGCATGCCACTCTGCCAAGGTGACGGGATGAGCTCACTGGAGCAGCTCGAGAAAAAAAACCTACTATCATCACTTCTCAGAGAGAGAGAGCGAGAGAGAGAGAGAGCGAGGGAGCGATGGGGATTGAGTCCTTTGATGCACCCTCATTGCACTTTAACGGCCCATCACATTTCATTACAACGGAGATGGAGGAGAAAAGAAAGACTGGAGGACCTGGAGAGTGAGGAAAGTGATTGCGCAAAAAGCAAAGGCGATGAAATTACAGGCAAATATAACAAAACTATGAACTGGTACGATATTATGTGTTTTTTTGATCGTTTACAAATGCAGACAAGAACAATATTCAGTTATCTCTGAGAAAAAGCCTTGGCGTAGTCAGAGATGTGTGCCTTGGTGATAATATAAACTTCAGGCACGGCTTAAAGGGCAATTCCAACATTCAGAATTTCAATCACTGAGATGTAAACAGTCATTCAGAGTGGTTTAATGTGAAATGGTTCATTGTAGAGACTCTTTACAGCGGTGGTGATAGGAACCAGGGGTCACGATGTCTGCAAAAATAAAATTAATGTAGTTCAAAATTGCGTTTTAGGCTAAAATCATCTCAAAACTAAAGTAAAACAATGAGTGCATTTACATGCACTTAATAATCCGACAACTGCAGAAAATCAGCTTTTGTCAGTAACACGATCAATGTGTTCATATGCGCTTGAGTAATCAGATAATGGGGAAACTCCAGGTCTACATGAGTCAGGCAGTAATCAGATTTCTGCTTTACAATCAGCCAATAAACTCACAGAAGACGTGACATAAACATGAAGTCAAACTCAAACTTTAGGCTGCGGCTTTTCAAAAAAGACATCACGCCACTTTACCTGAAAATACTAATATGTATCATCTAGAAAATAAAGAATCTTTAAAGCCTTAATTTCGTCAAGCATGTAGTCGGTTTCATTGTTGCTCCAACAGTTTTGCTGCCATCTCGGCAAGCCTGCTTGCTTATTTCTGGTCAGTTTTCGCACATGCACAGACTGAGAAATCCAAAAGAAATCAGAGTAAGTGTTTATATGCACTGAGAAATCTGATTACTGAGCTAGAATCCAGCTCTCTTTATCAGATTTCTTAATCAGATTTCTAGATTGGAGTGTGCTGTTTACATGACCATTTCGATAATCAGATAACTGCAGAAATCCGATTATGATCTGATTATTCAGTGCATGTAAATGCACTCAATGGCTCAGACATCTGGCAGTGTATTATAACCATTTCATGTAATAACTTTTTGAGCTATTAGAGGCATTAAACTCTTCAGATGTCTGAGGTATCAATGGTGCATGTGTGCAGTTTTGTGCATAATCATATGCATGTTTTCATGTATAGAATGTGATTTTATCCTTAGAGCTACTCCTGACAATGCATATGCAGAAACCCCTAGTGGTAACAGAGTGTAACAGCCAGCAAACCGATTACACAAACTCCATTCATTTTCAGCTATAATAGCATAACTGAAATTGGAGTGTTTATTATCACTGCACTTTTGTGGAATTGCTGATTGTACATGACAGCTAGATTGAGGAACAGGGAAAAGGGACTAGAGTCTGTATTTGTTGATCTGTTGATAAGTGGTGCGGATAAACTGGACAGTGATTGTAGATAGAAGGCAGACAGACTTAATAAAGTTAGCAAAAAATATTTTATGATCTTTCTTGACCCATCTCTATAGATGGGGTGTCAAACTCAACCATTAGAAGGGTCATATTAAAAAATCTCAATAAATCCAAGGGCCAGGGAATGATCACGTTTTATTTAGTTTTTAATTAAACTGACCATTGTTTATTCAAAATACACAAAAACTTCAGCAATACAATTTACGCCCTTGTAGTAAACCTAGAAATATAATAATAATACTTCATTCCTAGCATTTTTTCTTTGCTGCAAGTTGATTAATACTTGGGCTCAGTTTCTGAGCTGCTGAGCTGACGTTAGGTGTTCATATTGGCTGAGCTGCAGTTAGTGTGTTTGGTGATATGATTGGCGTGGAACTGCGTAGAATTATGTAGAATTTAGATGTAACCGCTGTCCAATAGATTGTTGTTGGGGCAGGAGATTCTGGGCGCACTTTACGTTGCAGTGCATGTTGGGGACTGTAGTGCAGCACAATGTGAAAAGAGCTAATATTAACAGAAAATTAAAACACTTTTGAGGGGCCGGATAGGATCTGGGCCTGATCTGGGCCTGATCTGGGTCTGATCTGGGCCTGATCTGGGTCTGATCTGGCCCGTGGGCCTTGTGTTTGACACTTGGGCTATAGATTGTAACATGAATGTGTTTAAAATGTGAATGAGGTGCCAGATTTACTACAATAACTTTTCTCCACTAAAACTTGTTCCAGCACAAATGAAGCCCTGGTTAGTAACGCTGAGTTACAGAGGCGTATGTGGGAGGAGTGCTGTGCCGTTTTTGTACTCATGTCTTTAATTAATAAACTCTAAAGAAATCAGGAGCAGATTAATTGCTTTAGAAATAGATTTCCACATAGGAGGCCATTAGCAGAGCTGCGTCCACTTAAAACTAAACCATATGGTGTCAGGATAAAAGTGCCAGCACTTAACTGCTGTGATATAATCCTGATGTTAAATGGCTGATAATAATTGTGAGGTTGGTGCGGATCTGTGAAACGACTCTGTCTGTGTGTGGCTGCTATCAAGAGCACTTCAGTTTAAGAGAATACTCCCACATACACACCTGCTATAGAGAAATAAACAACACAGAAGCAAAACTGCCCTGACAGTGATTCAGTCTGATTAGGATTCGATTCATCATGGAATCTCAAATTTCACCACAGTTTTCCTTCAATCTGATTTGATGTGAAATGAATTGAAAATATACTGTTGTGTTCTGCTGCTGGCTGGTGCTGGCATCTGAGACTCTGGAGGCGTGGCTGTGCAGATGGTTATAGTTATGTATACACGTTGTTTGTGTTATTTAGTGTCAGGGATTGTGGGTTTTGTATGTGATGGGTGAAGTGTGTGGCTACTGGTGATCACCCCCTCGAGTTTGGTGTGTATGTGCCCTTTTCTGCTGGTGTGTTCAATAAAGAGCACTTCTTACAGGAGAACTGTGGCCA